TTTGGTTCGAAGAAACAGCGGACTGTTGATCAGGTGGGTAAATTAGTGCAGTTTTTTTTTTTCAAATCATGGCTTAAAATCTTGCATTCCATTGCCTAAATCATGATTCTCCTAATGTTTTACCTAGCTCCTCATATTTTTTGTGTTGGAACTTCATATTTAACTACATTCTACCTGAAGCACTGAATATCGGTTCTCAATAAAGAAAATAAGCTTCTACGCATCTTCTCCAATTGGCATCAGCACGCCTACATGCTAAAGATTGTGTTCTCTCAGATTTTAGCTCGATATCAGTCACACTTCGTTTTCTATACCTTGAACTATTCGACTACATATTCGTAAGCTTGCAGACCAGGCAGATTTACACAGCCTTGAAACAGGCATTTATCCATGTTCCTCCTTCAATCCGTGATATCCATGTTCATTCATTCATAGCGCACTTACTCGATCACGACCAAACGCAACTGATCTCAATTAGTAGGTGAAGCGTAGGGCATAGATTTATGAATACACGACATGCATTCCAATTCAAAGATTAGCGTAGATAGATCTGAACATGAATACTCATTTCTCACCACAACCTTCCTGAATATTCATGGTCTCGAAAAGTGACCCAGCAGCTATTAGCAGGTCCAGCAGTAACTTTCTACTCATGAATGCGTGCAGTTTGAGAAATTTGTGATTCTATTGAGATGCTGCAGCTTATGAACTCGATCCAAGCTCTCTGATGCGCGCCATGCGCTCAAACTTCTCTGAAAATTGAAATATTGCAAATCCCACTTGGCAACCCCAGCAACCCTAGCATGTCCACAATTAACTTCACACAAGAATGCATAAAATTTCGAGAAACTTGCGATCTTTCTTGACATTTTGAATTCACGGAATTCAATTCATGCTCTCTGATGCGCCCCATGCGTTCAACCTCCTATAAATATTGGGAGAATGTGTGTAGTTTTGAGAAATTTGTGATCTTTTTGAAAATTTGGAACCTTATGGGGAGACTTCATCCTCTGATGCGCGCCATGCGTTCACCCCCCTTATGAAAATTGAAAAGTCAACATCGCGTGTACAGCTAATAGCATGTCAGAATAGAAATTCGTGATCTCTCTTGGAGTTTTGCATCTTATGGAATCAATCCATGGTTTCTGTTGTGCGCCATGCGTTCATCCTCCCATGAATATCGAAGAATGTGTGCAGTTTGGATAAATTTGTGATCTTTTTGAAATTTTGAATCTTATGGAAATAATTTATTCTCTCTGATGCGCGCCATGCGTTCAACTTCCTATGAATATCGAAAGTTTTGATGATCGTGATCTTTTGAAATTTTGAATCTTATGGAAATAATTTATTCTCTCTGATGCGCGCCATGCGTTCAAGCTTCCTATGAATATCGAAAAAATGTGTGTAGTTTTGAGAAATTTGTGATCTTTTTGAAAGTTTGGAACCTTATGGGGAGACTTCATCCTCTGATGCGCGCCATGCGTTCACCCCCCTTATGAAAATTAAAAAGTCAACATCGCGTGTACAGCTAATAGCATGTCAGAATAGAAATTCGTGATCTCTCTTGGAGTTTTGCATCTTATGGAATCAATCCATGCTTTCTGTTGTGCGCCATGCGTTCATCCTCCCATGAATATCGAAAGAATGTGTGCAGTTTGGATAAATTTGTGATCTTTTGAAATTTCGAATCTTATGGAAATAATTTATTCTCTCTGATGCGCGCCATGCGTTCAACTTCCTATGAATATCGAAAGTTTTGATGATCGTGATCTTTTGAAATTTCGAATCTTATGGAAATAATTTATTCTCTCTGATGCGCGCCATGCGTTCAACTTCCTATGAATATCGAAAGTTTTGATGATCGTGATCTTTTGAAATTTTGATTCTTATGAAATAATTTATGTTCTCTAATGCGCGCCATGCGTTCAACTTCCTATGAATATCGAAAGTTTTGATGATCGTGATCTTTTGAAATTTCGAATCTTATGGAAATAATTTATTCTCTCTGATGCGCGCCATGCGTTCAACTTCCTATGAATATCGAAAGTTTTGATGATCGTGATCTTTTGAAATTTTGATTCTTATGCAATCAATTTATGTTCTCTAATCCGCGCCATGCGTTCAACTTCCTATGAATATCGGAAGTTTTGATGATCGTGATCTTTTGAAATTTCGAATCTTATGGAAATAATTTATTCTCTCTGATGCGCGCCATGCGTTCAACTTCCTATGAATATCGAAAGTTTTGATGATCGTGATCTTTTGAAATTTTGATTCTTATGCAATCAATTTATGTTCTCTAATCCGCGCCATGCGTTCAACTTCCTATGAATATCGGAAGTTTTGATGATCGTGATCTTTTGAAATTTCGAATCTTAT